TTTATACAGCAATACGTTGCACCTTATAACGCAACACGTTTCACATACTAAAATTACAGTATTTCTAACGACTGATCGAATAATATTAGTTGGTTATGTCGGATTTAGTTACTTATATATAAACAAAATAACCGAACATGTCGAATTATATGAAAATATTATTGATTCCTTTTTATTTACTTATATAATGTTATTATAAATGATACTATTTTGTTATCTATATTTTTTAAGTATTGCAAGTGCACATTAGGTTTATACGGATTGCACATAAATATCTATCAGATTGCACAAAATTGAATAATATCTGGCGAATATACATTTGATACAAATTTGTATATTTTGGTTTTATTATTATTATTATTATTATTATTATTATTATTATTATTATTATTATTATTATTATTATTATTATTATTATTATTATTATTATTATTATTATATCGAGAAATTTGGTATGATGTCATTTTTTTATTTAAATAACTATAATAAAAACCAAATTAAATCAAATAATGTTATGTTGTAAATTTCTTTAACAATAGCGACCACAATTGACAAGACTAAACTTTTTGATTCGAAATTTTACATTATTGACTATTATATATATTTACTTTCAATTGTAAAATACTGAAAACATTATACATATATATATAATAAGTTAATTCAGTTATTTCGGTTAAGTCGAATAACATACCAAATAAATTGATCATTTATGCTCGATTTTAATTTGGAGTGTGATAAAAAATACCATAGGCACAAGTAATGTCTCACAGTCATGCACACTACGATCAAATCCATTCACATTATTGTTATGCAAATAGCACATTAATGTCTCTCAGGCTGCACATTAGCAATTGAAGCTGACCAAAATAATATTTTTGATTCGAAAACTTATATGTTAGTTCAAATATAATTTTCATATTTTAAGAGATCATTAATTTGGGTTCACTGTCGGAGATTTTAAAAATTATTTATCACTATCTTTATATTTATTAAATTATTAATAACTTCGTATAAATATTTATATCACCAATTGATTTATGTTATAATTAAAGTTAATAAATCACAAAATAATATCTAACATTAACCTAATTACCATGAACTACCCCCTAAATCAACACACACCCAAATCACTCAAAATTACATTTCACCTACATCATCTATACAGCCAATTCACACAATTCCGTCACATATTAACAAATTAATTTGCATCTGAATAAAAAATTCACCCAATATTCCTTTTTTTTTCATAGAACGATAGATTTTATAACTCGAAAAAAAATTACAACCCAGGTTAAGAGACCTGATAAGGGTCCGAAGGAGAAATACATACACGCGAAGTGCAAAAGAACTAACTAAAATAAAGCATAAAGATCAACTCTCAAGAGAGAAGAGGGTTGAGTCTTTATATCTCATGACCAAACTAACTACTAAAACAAAAGCTACTACCACTGCCAAAACTAGCCTAGATGCAGCTGCAAAACTAAACAACAAAGAGGAAAAACAACTCCAAGGGACCCAAAATAACATTAACTAAACAAAACAGTTGTAGCAAGGAACCACCAACAAGGACTTCACATCCAGAGTTCAAGCAAGGTACAACAACACAACATCAGGCTTCAGAAGAATAGCTTTCCAACAGCAACCAATTGACCACACATTCAACTGCCAACTTCTTAATCAAGATTGAACAGATTCTTCCAGATCAAGTGTCAGCACCAAGGACAACTAACCTCACCACTACATTAACAATCATCACAACAACAATATACAAACAAGGAAGAATATAGTTGCAACATGACAACAAACAACACCAAAATCAGAATTCATTCACTCAATATTCCAAAGGCCCTAATAGTATTTTAAAATTCACAATTCCTTCACAAAGATGAACCAATTAATATTCACCTAAATCAAAATTCACCCAAATAATGATGCAATTCCTCAGCCCCAATAGTATTTCCGGCCGCCGTTTCCCATCTCCCGTTCAGATCGCCGGAGATCTCGTCTCGTTCAGGTCGCAATCCCTATATATTCCCCTGCAACTTGCCGACGAGCTCGACGGGCAGGCTGAGCAATTTTGAGACAGGGGCGGCAACGGTGGTGGCGGTGTTGTAATGCATAACGGTGCTCGATGGGATGTTAGCGGCAGCGACGTCGGCGATCGATTGGGAAGCGACGGGAGAGATTAGAAAAATGTAGTGGCCGGCGGTTTGGGGTGGATTAATTTCGACATGTCGGGGAGAACAGGAGAGGGATAGAGGATGAGAGAATGAAGTACCTTGGCCCCCTTTTATAGGGGAAGTGTACCTTTTGGGCCCAAGTGAGCTTAACCCCTATCGTTGGGCTTAGATGTCTCAGTGGGCTTATCCTTCAATATATATCCGCTTTATCCATTAAACCGGGTCCAGTATAATATCCTATATCATCTAGTCCCCCCCACTCTGGTCGAGTAAGCCTGACTCGATCCAAGAGTGAAAATTCCTCTTCGGGTTGTTTCCGTCGACCTGCCACTGAGGTCACCATTTGAATAAATCCCCGGCCACCAAATAGTTATCAATCCTCCAAGTGAGCATCGGGACCCCAAATGAATACCGAATGACCACCAATATCAAGAATTGAGTGACCCACCACTGGGGTCGAACGCCAAGAATCGAGAATCAAGAGACCTGCCTCTGAGGTCGAACGCCGAGAATCAAGAATCGAGATGTTATACCCCGATTTTTATTAATAAAGGAAAATACTAGCTTTTAATTTTAAAGCTAGCCTTTGTTAATAAATAATCATGTTCGTGTTCAAGTTCAAGTTATTCAGCTAGTTAATTCCAAGTTATACTATTAGTCGATAAGTTTTCAGATTTAATTCCGATTCATTTAATTAGTCAATGAGCTCGGAATTAATAAGCCAAGTTGACGAACTATTCGAAATATTAATGTTCGGATTAATCGTCTAAGTCAAGAATATTCGAATTAAGTTTCGAATGTCATATTTATGTTCGGAATAATTTTCCGACAGTTAATTTGGTTAATGTTACCATATATGAACGTCGTCGTTCCTATACAGCGACGCGTTCACAATTGGTACACCGTCCATCATTAATTAAGTAACTGTCATAAACCTTGCTTAATTAATTTAATCCATGTTTAACTAATTAATCATGATTAGCTTAAAGATAATCATGATTAGCTTAATGTTAATGATGATTAATTAACATTAATGAGGATTAGTTAAGGATAATCATGTCTAACTTAGCATCAAGTAAGATTTCACACGTCATGAGTAAGTTATTAGTAAGGTATTAGCACAAGGGTGCTTAGCGCACGCCGATCACGTTTGACACGCCCTTAGCACGCACTTAGCGCGCCTAAGCCGAGCTTAAAGGCCGTAAGTTAAAATCTTTCAACCCTTCACGAGCATAGTCATCCATTCATGACACATGGAAGCTCATGGTGCCTTAGGGCCGTGACTAAGCAAAATGAGGGTGAGTAAGCACACCAATGCCACCTCGAAGCTCTAACCGTACGACAAATGGCGCACGGCCATTGGCCGTGAGTTCCTCCCCAATCCTCACCAACGTTTTCCCATTATAAAATCTGATATTTGGGGAAGGAATGTTCAGTTAATACACCAGCCTTCACTAAGAAAATACTAAGTGAGATTATGATCATTTTATGCACGCACGCATGGTAGTAAGGATTTATAGCCATTCTTGTGATTTCAACCAAGCACTTGAAGAGGTAATCTCATTCTCAGCCTCTTTTCATGTTACTAAGGTCATATTAAGTTCAGTTTATCCAGCTCATGTCAAGAAATTCATGGAAAAGACATGATAGGTTCGGTTTTAGGCCATATTGGCCATGACCGAGTGATGTTTAATTCTATTCGAATAAAACCTAGTAATTTATGCTTATGTGATCATGTTATGACCTTATAAGTTCATTCTAGAAGGATAGGTCGGGACAAGTTGTGGTTTTGCCCATGTTTTGGCCTAAGAAAGTCGGCAACGCACATAACGCACGCCTACGGGCCATCTTATGCCCTATCATGTTATCTTTCAGTATGATCATAATTGTCCGTGCAATTCATGTTTAGTTGGTCATGTTAGGTCATTTTATAGTCAGATAAGTCAAGTTGGTCGGAGGAAATTCATGTTTGATCGAGGAGTTGGCTTGACGCCAATTATACGCACACGATGTGCATACCTCGGCACCCCAATAGTCCATCGAGCATTAATCAGTAAATTTGAGTAAAGTCAACACATAAGATCATGTCAAGTTATGTTATGTTATTTCATGTGAGATCGGTCAGAGGAAATCGCCAAACGGCCGGCAAGGGCCGGTCGTGGCCAT